GCACCACACAATTCTAGTCTAGGGATGGAGATCTTCTTAAGAGGAGCAACTCGAGCTTTGGCAATTAATAGATGTACGTTGATTTCTCCGGAAGAACTTACACATCGCAAGTAGACACAAGCTCCGTAACCTGTTTCAGACCCATCACAAAATCCATGTAAACTGATATGAGCAGCATCAGCTACGGAAACATATCGAGGTAAGCTAAGTTCACTTAAGAAAGGGAGTTGTTGGAGGAACTTAGACCATTTTTCAGTTAGATCCGGAGGTACAGGCGCATCCCATGATAATCCTAGTGCCCATAAAACTTGTATCAACGCTTTTACCCAAAGAGTGACTGGAGTCAACCAACCGTTTGGATCAAATATTCTGCTAACTGTTCCAAGTATACCTCGTTTAGTGGGAGGTGTGTCTGGGATATTCAACTGATAAGAAAAAGTGTCTGAGTTAGGTGACCATTTTATACCTAGAACCTTGAAATAAGGTTGATCTGAGGAGTTGAAATATAGAGGAGTTTCTTTGTAAGAGTCGGGAAGAGTTTCCATGATTTGAGGGCAGTTGCTAGTCCATTTCCTCAGTTCGAAACATCCTTTTAAGAGAAGTTGTTCCACCTCATTTCTTAGTACCAAAGCTTGTTCTATGCTGTTGGCACCTAAAATTAAATCATCTACATATACTTGTTTCTTTAAAGCCTCAGCTGCCAGAGGGAAGTTTGTGCCTTCATCGGTGATAAGTTGGTGAAGTGTCCTTAGTGCCAAGTAGGGCGAACAGTTGAATCCAAACACAACCGTAGTTAAACGGTAAACTGAAAGGGGGTCGTCTTTGTCATCTCTCCAATACAACATTTGATAGTTTCTATCATCTGGGTGGATCATTATTTGACGAAACATTTGTTTGATGTCACATGAGAAAACAATAGGGGATAGTCTAAACTTTAACAGAATATCATTAAGATCATTATGTAGTTTTGGCCCGGTAAGTAGAATATCGTTAAGGCAGACACCTGAGGAGCTGCGTGCGCTTGCATCGTATACTACACGAAGCTTGGTAGTTGAGGAATCTACTTTGACAATAGCATGGTGAGGTAAGTAAAATTGTTTATTATCACTGTTTGGAGGAGGGTTAACAGGTTCCATGTGACTAGATGACAATAAATCATGTATGGCTTTACTATACTCTGCTTTAACTTCAGGCTGACTTTCTAATTTTCTTTCAAGTGATAGGAATCTATTGCGGGCGCAAAATGATGAGTCACCAAGAGGGGGATGATTTTCTTTTATGGGTAGCCTAACAAAGTAGCGTCCATCTGAATCCCTAGAGATCGTGTTTAGAAAGTGATTTTCACAAATTTCTTGTTCAGATGTTACATGAAGTTTGATGGGAGGTTCTTCTAGAGTCCAAAATTTCTGCAGAGAATTGTGCAAATCAATATCTTGAGTACTTAATAAAGAAGAAACATTACCCTTGCATTGAGGGGCTGTTTTGTGTGGGACTACAGCAGGAAGAGTTGGGGCAGAGCCTATGATAAGATATCCAAATACAGAATTCATGGCAGCAGGAAGATCCTTGTTAATGATGATGCGTTCACCAGTGATTACTTTAGCGAATAGATCAGCACCTATGAGCATATCTATCTTACTAGGCAAATGAAAAGTTGGATCAGCCAGGACCAAATGTTTGAAGTATTCTTTAACATTAACTGGAACTTCTGAGTGTGGGAGGTTTGAGGTTATTCTGTCTAGAATAAGGACTGGGTTGTTATCAGCAATCATTTCTCCGCTAAGAGACGATATGTTAACTTTTGACACACCTTTAGATTTAACTTCTACTGATGATAGGCCATCTATCTTGGAATTACTGGAAAATGTCCGTTTGAGCATAAGCAGGTTAGCAATATTTTCTGTTACGCAGCTTACCATAGATGCGGAGTCAATAACGGCTCGGGCTACAACTGTGTTACCGTTATTAGCTTTCAAGTGTACCAATGCAGTGGCTAGCAATATAGTGGTATTAGGGTTCGAGGAGACAGCTACAAAGGGAGGTTCAGGGTGATCATATGTTTTATTCATTTCCTTGGGCATCGAAACATTATCTTTAGGTTTTGGATTAAGCTTATCATTAGGCCTATTATTAGTTTGATGTAAGAGGGAGTGATGTTTCAGTTTACAGTGAAAACATGTTTTATTTGACTTACAGTCTTTGACAGAATGAGCGGTACCCAAACAGTTCAAACAGAGGTGGGTTTTCCTCACAAAGTTGTATCTTTCCTGTACGGACAAATCTTTAAACTCTGAGCATTGGTAAATGTTGTGATCACTTTTACTACAAAATGTGCATGTGGCGTTTGAGTCTCTGAAAGCTAGTAAAGTAGTGCGGTTTGGTGTAGACTTATGTAGGCCTATCTGAGAGGAGTGAGGGCTGGACCTCTTACTATTTTGAGCGAAACCTACATTGCTATTGCTTGAAGTAGTTCTAGGGAACTGAGAGTTAGAGAGGTTAGCAGCTTCTAAGTAAGCACATTCATTTTCTAAAAATGTTATTACTTCATCCACGGTTGGTAGGTCTTGAGAAATAACGCGTAAGCTTTCAAACTTTTTGCGAGTGTCTGTGGGTAATTTCCTTAGTAACATGGCTGAGAGCAAGATATTATCCTTGGCTATGTCATGATTGAGTGCAATGAGTGCTTGGGCATTTTCGTTATACTGAGAAATGAACGAGCGAATGTTCTTGAGGGAGGAGTCACTTAGGTTAGGTAAGTCTATTATGTTGTTGAGGTGTATGCTTATGATTTTCCTACTGTTTTGATACCGTTTTTGGAGAAGATCCCATGCTACATCATAGTTTTCAGCAGTGATTGGTAAATTCTTTATAAGATTGAAAGGTTCTCCCTGTAGAGTAGAAAGCAGATATTGAAATCGCTCAACTTTAGATATGTTTTCATTATCATGAACAGATACTTGAAACAGGCTTACATAAGACAACCATTGTTCTGGTGAACCATTGAAAGTTTTTAGAGATAGAGGAGGGAGTTTTAGAGAGTGGCTATCTTGGTTTGAGGAAGAGCTACTAGGCCTATGGGGTAGGCTACTTGATGGAGTATTTGTTATTGAGTCAGTGTTTAGAACAGGCCTATGACTTGTAGGATCTTGAGAAAGGTGTTTCTTCGTGAGAGTTTGAATTCCTACACATAAGTCAGATATAGTATCTTGTAATTGAAAGAGTGTATCTTCTTCATAATCATCGGGAAGCGTGTCACTATTAAATAGTTTCTCAAGGGAGGTTTCAAATTCTGAGTATTTTCTAAGTGTTTCTGAATCTAAAAGTTTCAACTTATTTATTTGTTCTTGGGACAAATCAGGTAATAAATCTAAAGCTTGGATGTTAGTTTGGATTTTGGCTAAACGATTCGCAATTGAGTTTAATTGCCTGGAGAGGGTGGTGAATTTCATTTTTTTGTTGTAAATATAAAAACAATTATTCTGAGTATTCAGAGAGAGAGATTAGAGATTGTCATTATTTTCTGCAATAGGAGACACAGATAACAGATGGCATTGTTACATTAGCGCTATTAGTGGTTGCTATGAGCATTACAAAATACCAAATTGTACAGTTTGATACAAATTGAAATGTCAATTAATAACTTACAACAAAAACAATATGCATAAAATATAGAGGAATCAAAGTCCTTTAGATATTGACCTTTTAGATCTACAGTAGTCTTGGTAGTCTTCTTACTTCTTACTGATGAGAAAGGAGTGAGTAGTTCATTTTTAAGGTTTGCAAGTTGGAGTTGGAGTAGAACTAATTGTGACTTATAGTTACCAAAAGAGCTGAATTTCAGACGATCTGCGGCCGAAGGACCATGTAGAATTTCGGTAGCGTGTGGAGTGGACTGTATTTATAAGTTAAGCGGAGTTTGAATCTTCAAGAACAAATTAGAACACTGAGATACAATTGACAAATAGTATAATATTAACAAATAAACTTTCAATGATTTTACAGAACTTTAAAGAGAGATTACAAAAGAGAGAGAGGGATCTTCATTCTAGATGTTTTGTTTTCAACTAACAAAATTACTAATAAATTATTTCATTGTTAAATCACATATGTTGTTTTAAACATTAAAACAAATTAAAAACCAATGCCATCTGTATTTATTTTTAGTTGATAGAAAGCATTATTATAACAAAGTTAATTATACTGAATATTACAGAACAGTGTCTCTTATAAAATGTAGCCGGCTACTTTCTTTAAATGTGCTTTGTGTCGTAAATGTGTGAACTTTATGTGTCGACATGTGTTTGTACCTCATAACGAAGACTTCTGTCGGATTTTGGACCAATCAATTTGATGAAAATGGGTTTGAAAATGGGTCATTTCTGACCCGAAACTAGTCACCCTTTGACTATTTTAGGACTGACGACGGAATAAAAAAGGTACGTAACCTATCATATCATTCTACATCAGTCCTGGTGGCAATAATGTTTATATTTAATTGTGCCTGTATTTTGTAAACTATTGTACTAGGTCTTATTATATTGATTGATTACATGTAAGTATTCATTTGCTGTATTAATAACAGCATTATGTATTTTGTGACGATTGTTAATGCATTGTGAAATGTCTAAAACAATAAATTGTTTTGATTTTATTTTATTTGATTTTAACAGTTTTAACTCTATTCTGATTAAAAAGTTTGCATTCCTTATAAACTAAGCTTGAATTGGATATGCAATATAACAATAGTATTACAAAAACAAAAATTTAAAAACATATTCCTTTTTAATAGTTATACAGTCAAAACTCAAAAATTGTTTATATATTAGCATAATGTCAAATTTCATAAAATGTCAAAGGTAATACAATTCCAAGCAACTTTATAGTTAACACTTGAAATCCACATCTCTTTGTTTTCAAGTTTTAGTTATAGAGGTTTTAGAAATAACCAGGTTCTACTGGGTACGAAAGACAATTTGGCATGAGTTTGAATTTTTAGTTACCTCATCATCAAAGACGCTGAGTACAAAGGTGGTGACAGTTGTGATGATGCCTATGAACATGTTACAACACGCCAGAGCAACAAATGACGAGCTTGGAACATCAAAGTAGAAGCTGAATGGATACATTAGAGCTGTACACGACCACCTGTAAGACAAGTTTTACTGACAACAGTGTTTAGTGGATAAAGGGAAGGTAGGAGTCAGGACTCCACTGAAATTTTACATAAAATATTAGTGTTATCATCTAAGTTTCGTTTTTTGTCCAAATGCGCATGAAATAAAATGAAAAAAGGTAACAGTTTAAAAAAACATTTTCAATTTCAAATCTAATGTAATTTTGATTACAATCAAAATTTTCCCGTGATTTTCTCAGTTCAAATTGAATTGCAGTTGAAAGTTGAAGAGTTTAAAGTTGCAGAGTTTAAAAGTAAACTTTTAGGATAATGAAAAAAAAAACAGATTTTTCTTAATTTATTAACTTAATACAATAATTTTCATGGTAATTACTCTTATCTAAGATTGAATAAGCTTAGAGTTGTTAAAAACTAAAATATTACCCATACAACAGCAACAGCGCAACTAATCCTGGGAAGTTGGTGGGTGAAACGTAAGATTTTTCGTCAAAGGCAAGAAATACAAACACACACAATGCAGCTGCAAGCAAGTAGCAGGCCTAAAACCAAGAGAAACAAATGGTATCAGCAAACTGACACATACTTTCTCCCATTAGCTTGTCAACAATCCTCATAATAGGTAAGCAGTAGGAATAACTATGGTACTGTATTTCTAAAGATAAAATCACAAAAATTGCAATAAATTCAAACAGAAAATTTTATATAATTGCTTTTTGTGCCATTTTATTTAGTGTTTAAAGGTCCTCTAAATTTAAATCAAAATTGTTCAAGCTGTTTTTGTACAAATCTTATTTTTCTGGATTTGTATTTGAAAATTTAGGTTTCAAATAAATTGATGTAAAAAACACCAGGGATACCTTGTACATTCTACATGTACCCAAATAGTAAATTTAATAAAAATCGGTCGAGAGGTGAAGTCTGTATTTCTCTTTATATTATACTAGTGCACCTGTTGCTCGAATTCGAGCAACTGCAAAATATTAAAGGTTTTTTTTTTAAACGAATAACAGTCATAATTTTCGTTGACTTAAAAGAGTCAACTCAAAGATAATGTAATCAATCACTCCACTCCAGTTATCGAAACTGGAAACAAACTCACTCTGAAAACGAACGTTCACTCCACTCCATCTATCGAAACTGAAAACGAACTCACTCCGAAAACGAACACTCTTGTGTGTATCATGTGTTTACTATATATAAACAGCTGTAATTAATACAAATTATTCGTCTGTTTAAGTAAACAAAATCTTTTCTTCATAAGAAATACATTGGGATTTTGATGGCCTGTGGGGCAAAGCCTGAAGACTTTTATTACAAATTTGTGAAAGGGGGCGTCTACACAAAAAATACTTAATTTTGACCCCTCGTTTGTAAAAATCTGTCAATTATTAACGGAGGAGTAGTGTTTTGTAGAAATCGCCTTCACGTATTATATATAAGGATTGTATGTTTCTGTGTTTCTTGTCGTGTTGCCTTTAAGAGTATCAAATAATAATAACTGCTCCCTTAAAAAGTTTCTTTAATTACTAATTTTGATTAAAAAAAGGTTAGGCTTCTTGGATACAAAATCACAATAGCTTGCTTTTACATACAACTTGAACAACAGAAGTACAGTAACTAAATTAATGTGAACAATTTCTTCTAAAATACTATTGAACGGGCAAAGTTGATTTCCACTCTAGACTAGACTCAGAAGAACTCCCATTCTCTTCAAAAATAAGTAAAAAAGGCAAAACAGAATCAGCGCTTTCTTCATCAAGTGTAGAACAAGTGAAATTACACTATATTCCCGATTATTACTTTATTTAAATTATGCATTTATATTTTTGAGCTAATGTATTCAGTATTGCTTTTATTTATTTTGTTAACCATGTAGAGTCAATAATGTTTATAAAATAAAATTCAGTTACTATCTACACCATTACATTCTGTATTCCTCTCTGTATCTCCACACCCCTCTCTCGGTTCCCACTCAATATGGCCAAATATTTAAGTATTTCTGTTTTAACTTCAATATTATTTTACCAATAAACTAAAGTGTTAAACCAATACACACTTGTTATTATTAATAAACCATAAAACCGTTGGGTACACATAGAAACACATATCATTTCGAAAACAACTTTAAGCGAATTTCCCTATAGGAAAGTAGCTATTACCGTAGGTGGCACGGTAAGACCTAGGCCCGGGACCGATTTACTTTTCCATTTTGATGTCCCCAGAGGCCAAAAACACTATTCGTTCAAATTTGTATATATGTATATATATATATAGATTTATATATATATGTGTGTGTCTGTGAACGCGATAACTTGAGTAATTTTTGTCCGATTTTGATAAAATTTGGTTTAAAGGTGTAAGGCGAAATAAACTTGAATGACTTCGTGAACCAGCATGATCGGACCATGGGAACGGGGTTTTACAGGGGGTTTTATGGGGTAAAAATTAGTTTTTCTCATTTTTGACCCCTAAAACACCAAATTTCCCAATTTATCTCTAGACCATATTAAAGAGCTTAAAAAAGCAATTAATTTAGTACATCAAAGTGTTTTTGTACGGTTATTGGTAATGGAGTTTAACCTAATGGAATTTTTACTTAAACATACTTTATTAGTTTCAGTTTCCTTGTCGCAGCAAACCTAGGTACTCGTTAAACGTAATGTTATTTAAATAGATTTAATTGAAAATCATTCAGAGAAATGGAAATTCGCTTAGTCGGCAGGCTTGCTGCGGCGGGGGTATTTTGGATTCAGGGGGGGCACAAAACAAATATTTTCACACAAAACTCACATCTCAAAATTTAAATTTTAAAACTGACTTCAACTTTGAAACGGGAACAGAACATCTTGTTCTAATCATATCCAATGCTTTTAGCTACATATTAACTTTGTAAATCTAAATCCAGTTCTTAGCTCTTTGTCTATCTATAAAACTTCGTCACATGCAAATTGATACATAGAAACAGGTGTCAATGCTTAAACTACTTTTTGTAGAGTTAGGGAACACCTATGCCAAAACTTGAAAATATTTGTAAGACGACAATCATTCTATATAACAGTGTGATGTATGTAACATACCAAGTCCCAGGTGTAGGTTTGTAGCCAGTAGATGAGTCTGTTGACGCCAGATACCATCTGCAGATGCTTAGAGTTGGTAACTCTCTCTTCTATCAGGTACAATGTGAATGACGCAGGTACAAAGCTCAGAGCAAACAACACTGCGATAGCATGGAGCAGTGAAACTCCACTTGTGCTTCTGTCAACAACAAGGATTTCTTGAATGAAGTTTTCAACCCTCCAGGGGACGAACATATGTGGAAAAGCAATAAAAACCACTGAAACACACTATTTTGGTCATTACTGGAAGGAGAAAGCAGGCTATTTTTTTGTTCGCTCAAGCAGTTAAACTTAAGGGGAGGGTTAGGCCATGAAATAGCAGTGGTGGGGAGGAGTTAGTTCCAAATCTGCTCGTCTCAGTAATTAAAGCAGTCCAAGATCGGTAATTTTCACCAGAGCGCACAAACACTTTCAGGCCTAATCTTTTTCCTAAAAGTGATATCCATGGACATATGATACAAATTTAGATTAATCTTATTAACCTTTATTTCATAAGATTCAAATATATCAATAGGCTTTTCTATTAAGTTCAACAGAAACATTTGTACAAGTTAATATTTCTATCCAGTTACTCATTCGTATTTTGTATTTCTATAATGCAAAATTATGTTTATACATCAGTAAAACCATTTAGATATCATGTCACGTACTCATTTTCCTTTATTTTTACCAATTATCTGTTTTTTTCTAATGAGATGATAATTTGGTCAAAAAGATCGATGCACTCATTAGTGTCTTTGAGATGGCTTTACACCAGTATTTAACAGACCTAACAGTATATTGAGGATGAGCATGTAGTTCATAAAAAAACAAGTATAATCTTTTCAATACAGTGTCAAGCAAAATGAAAAAATCATTTTCCTGCTACATAAATACTCACATAATCTCAATACCAAGCTGTTTGCGAGTAAAGTTCATCGGGTGGTTGATAGTATTGATGCTGTATTGTGACTGATTGTTAGGTACAAACGATCGCAGCACTACGTCACAGACAATGGAATAAACCCAGACGTATCACTGCGCCATGCGTAGGGCCCCGTCACATCCTGCCTCTAGCGGAGAATCGAGGAAACACGCAGTCTCGCCAGTCGCGGGCCGCGGCAGTCGCCGGCTTGCAATTAATTGCAGCACTAGCAGTTCAACTCAACGCCAAATTCTCGTCTATCATTCCTCCTCCGCAACTCGCGCGGTCCACCGATACCGTACTCCCTACGACTGCCCGTGCATCCATCTGCCTGCGGACAACATTTATTTTTCATTGTGTGATTAATTTAATCACATTTGCGACAAAGTTTAGCAATAAATTATACATGGTGTTCAAAAAAAGTGGGGGACATATTTTACCTAGTGATTCCTTGAGTAAAAATAAAGAGAAAATCAAGAATAATTTTTTTCCAAATCGCTTCGTTACTCAAATATCCGCCATTTTGTATTTTTGACATAAACTTGTTTATACCTATTTTAATGTTTTTAACAGATTTTTATGAAACTTGGTATGTATGTTAAGGTAGAAAAGACCCGTGTTGGAAAAAAAGTTCATCTAGATTCAACCTACAATTTCAAAATAATGGCCATTAAAACATTTAAATTTAAATTACTCAAAACTGGCTGGTTTTTTGAAAATATTCCAAGTACAATTTTAATTATCTATTATTTTAATTAGTATTATTTTAATTATTATTTAGCATTTTTAATTATCTATCAAACGATACCAAGTTCAAAAAGATCAAATAAGAAATAGCTGAAATATTAGGATTTTTAGTTGTAAACGGGGCAAACCTGACTATATTCTGCCTTATTCTACCCCATTTTAGCAATAAAAGTTTTAGCACTAAATTTTATTCAGTGTGTAGTACTGTAATAGAGCGGAGCGAAGCGAAGCTCGTTGGGATCGGCTTCAATACAAACTTCCATAGACACAAAACAAAAACAAAAATCACTCAAAATGGCTTAACTTATTTTAGCCAAACTTTCCACGATGCTTTGTTTCCACAAAAAGGAATTCGGAAGATTTAAGACCAAACAATTAATTTAAATTTTTGATAATCTATATAAATAAAATTACAGATTTGTCTGTACATTGCGTAGAATCATGCAGTGTTTGGTTATTTTTACGTTTCATAGCCTAAGAAAGCCGAAACGAGTCTTCTCAATTTCTGTCTGTAGGTCTGTTTGTCTGTCATTGTGTCATTCTGTATGGACTTCAAAATGTTAGTTTTTACTATGAAAAAGATAAAACATTAAGTGAAAGATTTTTTTAGCAAACCATCATGAATTTTTAAAGCTTTACGTTGTTAACGTATCAATTTTTTGTGGCCTTTGTATTTATTTACTTAATTATATATTTGCCAACGGATTCACACGAATTTTACAGTTGGATTACAAGTTGTGAATTGCTCAATATGACTAAATAGCCTATAAATAAAACGAATATCAAAAGTAACAATAGTAAGAATACAGTACATGCAAATACTTGGACAAAGAAAGAACTAAGAGTAACGAGAAGTAAATACACAAGTTGGTTGAATAACAATAATAATGAAAATATGTATACAATAAATGTCGCATTGACCAATCTAGGAAATAATAAATAATAAAGACTACAACAACCATGATGAATAATTTCGTGAAAACAAAAATAATATGGCAATGATAAATATTTGAAGTGAATAGTTATTGTACATTATTACCCATCTAAATATTCTTTTGTACTTCGTTTCATAATTTATGCCGTCATTTCAATAACATTTCGAGTCATTTTCGGACTAAGCAAAGCAAATACAAATTGTCATTCCATACGGCATTTTCACTGCACGATAATTAGGCCTAAATACGATTATCATAAAATTTGACGACACTATCAAACATTTCAAATAATTATTTTGTAAATACTTTGCTCTGGTTGGTTAAAGCGTAGCAAATCCCCTAATTCAATTCTGTGTTTGTGTGTGTTAGGTTTTATCAACAGATGTAAAGATCAAAATGTTTCTATTTCGTGTTCTCTTCCCGTTGCAAAGCACGGGTACAACAGCTAGTTAGATATAAAATATTGACTAACACGATAGGGTGAAATTTAATTGCGAAGCATTCGTTTTGTAAACATTGTAAACCGTCAGATATTGTATTTGAGAAGGTTTATATGTATTCCTATAAAGTAATAGCACAGACCACGGAAACCTATTACAGTATTATATTGTCTGTGGTAATAGTTTTGCCAGCATATCTGGAAAATGCACACTAAATATGCAAACCAACTCCTGTTCTGAATTTGAAGGTTGAAGGTTTCAACTTACTAAAAGATCCCCGTACGTAGAACGGGCACACAACTAGTGCCTATATAATTTTAAAGAAACTCAAAGTTTTTAAATTTTAACATTGGCCTTAAAGGTTGCCATGATGGTTATAAAATAACGACGTATATGTAAACAAAACGAAGAATCATAGCATATGTTTTAAATCAAGTTAAAATATGACCTAAACACAGTACAAAGGATAAACATTCTGATGATAGGTTGACAGGTGATGACCACTGATCAATATGGTACGGAAAGTCGTAAGTTTACATTTACGTCGCCATTTGGTAACTACCACTGATGGAATAGGTGCATCTATATATCTAATTCCGTAAGCCCAAAATTTTACAATGAAATTGTGAGCTAACGGGAGACCGTAGAAAGCTGGGAGAGGTCTCATTTTAAAGGTCTGGGCATGAAATTTTGGGGAAAATTATTTATTTTTCTTAATTATGCACCAAAAGGTTGTTATGGAATAAAATAATTCACATTTAAATAACATGAGAATCTAGGTCATGTCTGCTTTGTTTACTTTAAAACATGTGGTTGAACTTTATTTAAAGCATATGGTAATCTTACTAATATTATAAATGTGAAAGTTTGTGTGTTTGTTTGTGTGTTTGAAGGTCAATCACGCATAAACCACTGGATGGATTGGGCTGAAATTTGACATGATGATAGCTCACATTCCCGATTAACATATAGGCATATTCTTATCTCAAAAATCCCTTCGGGCTCCACCCCAGTGGCTCTGTAGTTCCCCATGTTAACCTTATGAGTATTCATATTTAAAGGGAATTAAAGAATTTAGTCAGCTGTTTCAACTAAAAAAGTTGGTTCTATGATATACAAAAGCATTAAAAAGTTATAAGATTTACCAACAGGGTGCAGCACTATATTTTTTGGCATTTATGTTAACAGCTAATTTGAACTAAGCAGCAACAAACAACTGTGATACGCAATGGGAACTGTCAAAGTAGGATTGTTTACAGTTATGTTTATGTTTTTAATGTCATGAATAATTTGTGATTTTTTTATTTGTAATACTTCATTTTTCTTTATTGTTTATGTGAAGAGGTAGAACATTATGGCTATGGTAGATGTGTAATACCATAGTATACCGTCAATTTAAAGAAGCAAATTTTATCAAACTTTGTCCTCCCCCATTGCAAACGCAAAGCTTGAGTATAACTGCAATAAGCAATTTAAACTTATATGCCAACCCCGTACGAAGGACGGGTACTCTGCTTGTATGTAATATGTACTGTAATATTTATACTAACCCTGAAGAGTGGTTGAACATACCAATTGACTATATAAATTCAATTGCACGATCTTGAATGCCACCATACAAATTAGTTTTAAAAGTTGGTTCAATAGTGACGCTCATTAGAAATATAAAGCTAGGGTCTGGATTAGTTAATGGAGTACGATTGGTTGTGTTAGGTATGTCTGGAAAAAGTGTAAAGTTAGTAGTAATTACTGAAGTAGGCAAAGGGGACATATTTTACATGCCAAAAATAAAACTAATATCCACAGATCCTAATATGCCGTTTAAGTTTATAAGGAAAATTTTCCCAAAATTTGCATTTATTTGAAAAATGTTTCTCCATGTGTTTTATCGAAGTGAATTTGTCTATATCCAAAGAAATTGATATACATTTAATATTTAATTAATTATCATGAAGATTATTATTGAAAATTGTTCTCAGTTGTATTATGATTAGAAAGTTTATATTATAAACACACCGCATGAAAAGTCCTTTGTAATTTTTATTTTTGACAGAGCAGACATAAAAATGCATTATGCAGGTATGTAATAACTATTATACATATAATAATATACAAAAATGTTAAAAGATAATCTAGGTAGGGTAACCCATGAGACTAATAATTTGTACAAAATATTTACTAGAATATATATAGGGGCTATTG